CCAGGTTGTTAGAACAAAGTGATCTTGCGTTGAGGGAGGGCTTGACCAGAGACCCAAAGTCCATGTACTTCCTCAATATATTGCCATATAAACATATGTACATAGGCCAATACCTCTATTTTTATGAGTTAATATAATTACATGAGTGCATACCTACGTTTATACCTCTATCCATAGCTTTGCTTCCTAGATCTTTCCTCTGTTTCCTTTTACCTTCCTCCTGCCCCACCATCTTGCTTGCCCTTCTTCTGTCTCTTAGTAACTCCTCTCAGCTAGATTGCTGTTGCTCCAAACACCACTGGTAGCTCTACATCCTCCTTATTGTTGCTTTTAATTCCCTAGTTGTTCCCCTGTCTATGGAATTGTTTGCTCACTGCTCCTTCCCCTGCCTCCTCCTCCCACCAAGTCCCTGTGGAACCATTGGTCCCATTGCTTTCTCCTCTGACTTACTTCCCATGCCTATCTTATATAGGTAGGCAAAAGAACAATAACGGAAACAAAACAAGAAGAAAACAAAAGATCGAATAAAAAGAGAAAGAGGGAAAAAGAAAAAAAGAACTAGCAATCCCCCGGAAAAAATCATACAAAATTCCAAGTCTGTCCACTGATCTTTATGACTATCTCCCCACTGGTCCTGGGGGGTTCTGGGAACTGCCCCTCCTAGCCTGAAGTCTTTTTGGGGGCTCCTTAGGAGCTATGTGGCTTGGCTTTGCTCCAATTGGTGATCTGTTATGTTCCCTTCTTGGTTTGCCCCACTATGGGGTGGGGGGCAGGCCAGACTCACTCTCCGCCATGTGTCCCCAGTATTGTCCTCTGTGACGGTATGCTCCAGCGAGGGGACATCATGTCTCAAGCTGTTGTCGGTCCTACAGTCTTCTCTGTGCCTTAGCAGCTCTGTGCAGGGACGTTGTCTTCAGTTGCCTACACTTTTGAAAGACAATTTTGCTGGATATTTGATTGTTCTTTTTTTTTAAAAATCATTTTATTGGGTGGGGGCTCATACAACTCTTATCACAATACATCCATCCATCCATTGTGTCAAGCACATTTGTACATATGTTGCCATCATCATTCTCAAAACATTTTCTTTCTACACGAGCCCTTGGTATCAATTCCTCAATTTTCCCCTCCCTCCCTGCCCCTCCCTCCCCCATGAACTCTTGGTAATTTAGAAATTATTATTATTTTGTCATATCTTATACCATCCTACGTCTCCCTTTACCCACTTCTCCGCTGTCTGTCCCCCAGGGAGGAGGTTATATGTAGCTCCTTGTAATCTGTTCCCCCTTTCTCCCTCACCTTCCCTCCTCCCTCCCAGTATTGCCATTCACACCACTGGTCCTGAAGGGATCATCTGCCCTGGATTCCCTGTGTTTCCAGTTCCTGTCTGTATCAGTGTACATCCTCCGGTCCAGCCAGATTTGTAAGGTAGAATTGGGATCATGATAGTGTGTGTGTGTGGGTGGGTGGGGGGGAGCATTCAAGAACTAGAGAAAAATTGTATGTTTCATGGATATTTGATTCTTGATTGGCCATTCTTATCTTTCAGGATGTTACATATTTTGTCCCTTTTCCTTCTTTCCTGCATGGTTTTTGATGAGAAATCAGTATGAATCTTATTGAGGCCCTTTATATGTGATATTTCACTTTTCATACCCTGCTCTCAAAATCACTTCTTTCCTTTGGTTCTAGAAAGTTTGATTATGCAATGTCCTTCTGAATTTATTTTATGGTCTGCCTTGTATAAAGTCCATTGAACTTCTTGGATGTAAATCATTGCTTCTTTTATAATATTTAGGGAGTTTTCTATTATATATTATAAAATGTTGTCCTTCATCTTTTTTTCTATTCCCCCTCTGAAATTTCTAATATGCATATATCGTTCTTCTTGCTGGTGTCCCATATAATCCTTACATTTTCTTTAATTTTCTTCAGTCTTTTTTTCTGATTGTTCTTCAAACAAATTAGTATGAAGAGCTATGCCCTCAATTTCACTGATTCTTTCTTTCATTGATTCAGTTCTATTTATGTGACCTATTGAGTTATTTCTGATATATTATTGTTAAGCTTCTGAAATTCTAGTTGTTGTTGACTTTTTAATCTATGTTTTCTGTTAATTCCCTGTTACCCCCAGTCTTCCTCAGGAGTAATCTGTGGTTCTTTATTCCCCAAGTGCTTCCAGGGCTGTGACAGACAAGACAAACAAGGTCCTCAGTATCTTACTGCATATTTCCCAAGGGGATTACACAGTACACTTGCACACATGCAGGACCAAGTATTAGATTTTGATGAAAGCTATGAAGAAATAAAATAAAGCAAAAATTCAAGTTCACACAGATACAATGAATTCTTCTTACTCCAACTACTGCCAAACACTGGCAAATTTGGGAGGCTATGAGAGAGTAGGCTTGGAATAGAGTGAATTGTTCCAAATAAAGAAGTCAGAATTTGGATGACTGTAGTGGGCAGAGGCATCTGGTTTTTGGGTTTTTTTTTTTGGGGGGGGGGCATCTGTGAGAAGTGAAGAGCATCTTTGTGGGACTGAGTGGGAAGAGCTTCTACAGGGGGTGGGGAGGAAGGGTTGGATGGTTGAGGAGGCAGGAGGCTCCAAGATCATCCTCCACAACAAAAGCAAAGATGAAGCAAATTAGCATGTTCTCTTCTGTTTACAGCACCTTATTTTGAAATACTGCTTTAATTGCTTAGTGTTGCTGCAACAGAAATACCACATACAGACTGTGATCCCTCTGTTCCCCGTTCAGGGGCACCCCTGCATTCTCAGGTCCTCAGTGCTCAGAACACTCCCGACCTTCTAAGGTCTCCTAGGATCATGATGATGCTTGCTTGTTGCTGTTACCCCTCACTCGGAGCTGGTTTGTGAAATATCTAGGAGCCTAGGTGTGGATGAGGTACACACCGCAGCCCACATCTGCAATCTCACATATTGACTATTACCCAGAGCAGTGCTCCCTTGGCTGGCTAGGAGGGCAGCCCAGTACTACTCCAACCTCAGTTGCAGGTGTTTCCCCCTTGTTTCTGCAGGGCCCCATTATTCCCCATCATAGCTGGCCCTGCCAGGATGGGTGTGACCCATGGGGGCTGGGGCATCTTACTGCCTCTCTCCTCACAGGTACCTAAGGCCCCACTTCCCAGAATACCTCTTCCCTGCTGCTCATAATCAAGGGTAACCTCCTTTTCTCTGCTGCAGGTGACAGAAGAAGTTCACCGGCTGTTAAAAGGGTACAGCTACCAGTTCATGTGCCGAGGAAAAGTCAGCGTCAAGGGCAAGGGCGAGATGCTAACATACTTCCTAGAGGGAAGGACTGATGGCAGTTCCCAAACCAGGTCTTTACATGTGGAACGGAAAATGTGTCCTTACAGGAGAGCCGGCCTCCAGACAAGACTGGCCACCAGCTGCCCCCCAGTGCCCAACGTGGCTGGTTTCTCAGTCCAAGCTGAGTTAGGGGCTCTGCAGGGCACAGGGCCCCCTTGCATCCCACTCACCATTACCTCTCCTCCAGAGCGACTGTGAAGGAGGTTAAATGCATCTATGCCACCAAGCTGGGGGCCTCTTCCAGAGCACACAGGGCGGGAGTTCTGCCCAGGACCAGCCTGACCCGTCGGCAACTCAACGCAACAGCCAAGCTAGAAAAGGAATGTTTGTAGTGTGTGGTCCATGGTTCTTTCAGAAGCACCATCTCCACGACCGTGTTGGCAGCAAGGCGCTAGACCAATGAAAGCAGGCTCTCTCCCCTCTGCCCAGGCATGAGGCTTTGGTAGGGCTGCATCTATTCAATCTTCTCCTTTGGCAGCAGAGGAAAGTTGTATCTCTCATTAGCAGGCCTGCTGATTTTGGCCGAGTTGGCAGTAGACATGTGAATTCCAGAACATCGGCCAGAGCCATAACAAGACTTAGGGAGGTTTATCTACTTGTTCTTAAGAGGAGACGTGTTCCAGGCACCTCTGCAAGAATGCCGTGAGATGGAGCTCTGTCTACAGAACCAAGGTTGCACTCCAGTGCCTGGGCTATAGGCTTAGCCCAAATAAGGCTGATGTTTCTGAAACAGCGCAGAGCCAGGACAGGCCTGGAGTGTTACCAGGTCCTCTTGTTACATCTGAGGTAGTGCTGACCATAGGCCTTCTCTCTGAGGCTATCTCTAGAACTCCCAGAGGGCCTGCAGACACATTTTTGCTATGCAGCCTACAACACCCACTCAGATAGTACTCGGCTCTCATAAACCCGAAAATCCCTTTACATGGCAGTCAGTGCAAGATCAGTGCCACTTCTTTGTGTGTGTGTGTGTGTGTGTGTGTGTGTGTGTTGGGGAAAGAAGAGAGTTTGGTCCCTATGAATTTAACAGAACAAGACTTTATCTTGAAGATGAGCCTCCACAAGAAAGTTTTTTGTTTTTTAAATTGAGTATGTTGTTTCTTGGGCAAAATCAGTCTTCTGGAGCATACTACTTAAGAGGTAGCTGGTTAATATAAGACCAGGTATGGCAGCACCAATTGAAGCCTGGAAAACAGGGATGTTTCTTTCCAGCAGTGCTTTGCAGCAGACAGAACCGAGACAAGGGCAGCTTATGCATTGCATATGCAGCGACCAAATCTCCTGTGCATTGGATTCCTGGCCTATATAGAAAACAGCCCATGGTTTGCTTGGCTGCCATCGTTACGTGGGGGTACTTCTGCCTGTTTTCTTCTCAAAACTTCTCCTTCACATCAAAATCTGAAGTGCAAGGGATTTGGTTGTTATGCAACACATAGTCTGTCCTGGTCTCTATCAGTCATGGCTGAACCAGTTTGAACAATTTCAAAGCCTTGCTTTCCAGGAGCGATGAATAGCTTCATGTCATGCTGTTGAGATCCGTGTCTGCAGCCCAGCCTCCCTACAAACCAACCTGGAACGAACCCGAAGATGGGTGCATTATGCAGGGAAGCCAGGCCAGGGAGGACCAATAAGGATCAATGGCAGAAATAGCTAAGCTAAGGGATCCAACTGAGCAGACAACCCAGACTAGAATCCCAGAGAGGAAAAGTTCCAAGTCAGAGACTGGGCATTACAGTTGGGAAGTTGAGTCAGAGAGGCGTGGTTGGGCTGGCTGAGCCTACCACTGGTCAGCCAAGAGGTTTGGGTGATCTTAGAGTCCTTTCCTCCCCACTCGCAAAAGCTCCATGTCTTCCTGCAGCTGCACCTTCCAGCATGGGGCAGGAGAAATGTAGACTTCTTCCCTGGACCATCAGCCTTTACACTGGACTCAGCATGATCTGGTCCTTGGTTGAGGAGGGCCATGGCAGCCTGCTACACTGTTTAATGTGATACTGGCATGTTAGACACAGCATTTCCACGCAGGAGGGTCGCATTCAGGCCTCACTGGGGTATTTGGGTATGAGCAAGATGAAGAGGAAGACAGGTTCTGAGGCCTGCCTGGTAGCTGCTGCTGCTACTGGCTATGAGGATGGAGGGAGCCATGGACCAGGGAGTGCAGGTGGCATACAGAGGCTGAAGGCAGCCCATGATTGACAGCTGCAGGAAATGGGACCTGACTGTCACACCCAGGAGGAACTGAATTTGGCCAACAGACTGAGTGAACTTGAAAGCAGATTCCCCTCTAGGGATTCAGATGAGAAGCCGTCCAACTGGCACCTTGATTTGTCCTCCCTGTCCCTCACAGAGAGCCCCTTGAGCCATGCGATATCTGGTCCTCTGACCTGCAGAACTATGAGATAGCAAGTGTGTCCTGCATAAAGCCACAGGGACATGGCTATGTGTTCCAGCAGCAAGGTGAGACCCTGCAGGTAACCACTGTGCCTTCTCTGGGCACCAGACTGTTCTGGAATGGCCAATCCACAGCACCCTGAATCAAAGCTCTACTGAAAGGAGCAGGTGGCTCCTTCATCACAAGCAGTTCCAAACCAGATCTCTTTCCTCATATGGCAGGAAAACCCTCTTTAGCCATAATGTTCTTCGTTTGGTGAAAAGAACACCTTACTTTTGATTTGTGATGAACCTGTATGACCTGCCTTATTTGTTTTTAATCATGTAAAATATCAATGGAGACATGTTAGAGCCTTTCAAGTAAGTTTCTCTCTCAAGCTTTCTTTCAGATGATTTGTAAATAGGGCAATGATTACAGGTGGTGCCTGTTCATTTGTACCAAAAATGAAGCAAACGCGACACTCACTACAAGCGGCGCCATTTAGCCCGGTGCAGTGGTGTTTATATGCATTGTCCTACCTGTTCGTTTCAACCCCTTTGGAAATGATCCCGTGTGTGTGCCCTTAGCATCCTAGCATGCCTTATATGCCTGATGTCATAGAGTAGAGCAAAATCAAGGAATGCTTCCAAATATGTTCATGGAATACCCTGACCCAGGTCAGCCCACGCCTGCCAGGATGTGTGTGTGTGTGTGTGTGTGTCCTGCAGAGATGATGTCACCAGACACCAGTAACTCACCTCGTCTGTCTGTGTTTATCAGACTCTAAAGCTAACCAGTACTCTTACACCGCCTTCTTCATTAGAAGCAATAACTCCAACTCTATGCTGTCGCGATAATTCTATGTCAAAATATGTGTGTATTTCAGAGACAAGCCATGATCACTCCTTTGCCCAAAGCTAAGCATGTTGCAGTGGGCTGTTAGTCCCAGAGCCCCACCCCCTGTCCCGAAGAGCCACCTTTGAGCACTGCAGGTACCTGTGTTTGAATGTCAAGTTGTTTACGGGCTCAGCATCCAAGTCTACAGAGCCCATTGCAAATACCTTGTTGGGTTGCTTTGTCCGAGGTAAGGAAGGAGGAGAGGTGAGGACAAAGACCCTACCTCTCATCCTACAATCTTTTCAGACTAAAAAATGCCAGCACTGTGTGTGACACACAAATAGTGGGTAGAAGCCATGAAGTATGTCATGCAAAGAGTTCAAAGGATAAAATCTGAAGGTTTACCAAGATGTATGATGTTGTAAAGAGATAGCAGCATTTTGAAAGCTACTCCGGAACTAGTCACACTTGTCTCAACTAACCTTGCAGAGTGCTTCCTGGTGAGAACAAGCCCTCTGGACAGGTGACCTGAAGGAGTGACAGGAAGTCGCTGACAATTGATTAGAAGGATTTGAGAACTTGGGTCTTGGACAGGATTTGGCTACCTTACAGAGCTATCTTTTTTTTTTTTTTCAGTTTAGTATAAATATTGTGCTTTATGATCCTAATAGCAATATAGAAGTATCATTTAAATGACTTCTTCTAATCTGCTACTTTCCAGTGGAAGAAATTGAATTTGTATATGAAGCCCCGTTTTCAAAGATTCACCAGGGAACCCTAGACACATCAGTGGTGCAACCAGGCTGGCCCCACTTCCCCCAGTGCATTCGGTCCCAGTGGAGGCACGCTGTTGGGAACCAAGGAGGGCACCCTGTACACACATGAGCACACAAGTTATAAAATAACCGCTGTATAGTTGTATGCACTTTATTACCTATATATTTTAGCCACAAGGAATCAAATGTACACATAGGTATATTGTAGCCTACCAACACTCTTATACAAGCTAGGTCGTAGAACAGCTGTAATATTTTTAGTTCTAGAAATTTGCAGCTCTGCTGGCTATGTGCAAAGAAATCTCCCAAAGCTGAATTGTTCACTAAACTTTCATGGCTGGCTCTCATCCGAGTACGTTGTAATGGCTTCAGTTCAAAACCAAACCAAACCAAAACCACCTCAGTGAAGGTGGTTTGACTTCAACATATTTGCCTTGTTACATCGTTGCTGTAGCCAAGCTGTGGCCCCAGGCACTGACAAGGTGAAGGGCACAGCCCCTTCTCTAGGTCCGGTAGTACCCTTCCTCCCAGGGATGGAGACCTCATGGCACAGTGGTTTATGAGTTGGGCCGCCAACTACAAGATAAGTCGTTTGAAAGCACTGGCCAGTCTGCCAGAGAAAGACGAGGCTTCCTGCTCCCATAAAGATGTACGGCCTCAGAATTTCACAAGGGCAATTTTTCTCTGTCCTTTAGGGTCACTATGAATTGGAATCAACTTGATGGCAGGGAGTTTTGTTTTTTTCAGGCTTGCCTCCCAGGGAGATTTGGCTTGGAAAGTTCCCTCGTCATTTTTGAGTCCACAGCCTCATTTTTGTTCAAACTCCAGGTGAGGTCGGCCACAGGTGAGGAAGAACGCGACCCCCTCTTCGTGAGATTACTCGGCCCGGCGTTTGCACTCCTGACTGTTTATGCGCAAAAGCTCAGCTGCTAGGAATGAGTTCCAATGAAAGTCACACAGAGTGTAATGTTGGG